TAAAAATTGATATTAATTTCACTATTAATATCACATAAATTATTTTAATTAAATAATTACTTAAATAAATATCAATTTTTATTTGTTTAATATTAATTAATGTCAAAATAATATAATAATTACATCATTAACATATTCCCAAAAACTCATTTATTATTTAATCCCTACTTTTAACAATTTAAATATATTTTTGTCCCTTTACTTTTTTTTATTTAAAACTAATTTAAACTAATGTTGGTGGGGTTTAAAATTTTGAGAGTTTCGTGTTTAGGATGTTAGAGTTTAGTGTTTAAATTTTTCTATGATATAGTGTTTAAGCTGTTAAGGTTTAAATTTTTTGAATTCTACATTTTATAATATAAAGATTTAGATTTTTTAATTTAATATTTTATGATGTTAGGGTTTAGATTTATTTTAAATTATGTTTAATTTGTTAGGGTTTAAATTTTTAAAGTTTAAGATTTAATATTTAAAAATTTGGGTGTTTAATAATTTAAAAATTAAAATTATAGGACCAAAAAGTGAAATTTAAAGTCTTAGATTTAAGAAGAGAAAATAAAAAACCTATATGCACCAATCGGCTTGCGGACCGATCGGTCCCTATAGATACCCTAATGAAAATAATAACTGCATCGATGATTGGACAGCTTAACAAGAAGTTATAGGAGATTCAAGGGTCAAAGAATAATATGCATAAATAACATATAAAGTATTCCGATTCATTGTATTTGTTATATTTTTACTTAATGTAGTTAAAGAAAATAACAAAGACATATAAAAACGTATTTATTATTAATTTAAACTTTTATATTTGCCTTTATTAATTAGAGTAGTTAGGATATGTTCTTTTTAAGACTAAAATAATTATTAATTGTGATAAAATTAAAAATAAAATTTTAATATTTTGCTAAAAAATTAAAATTAACAAATAAATTAAATTATTTTTATAAAAAATATAATAAATAAAATGAATCTAAGGTAGCATGCATTAATATTAAAATAAGGTGGTACTATAAAGATAATTTTTTTGTCTCATTTTTTTATACAATTTTCACATATTATTATTAAATAAATGAATACATTCAATATTATGAGTTTTATATTAATTAAAAAAATCAATCATTTTAATGATATATTAAATTATAAAAAAAAATAAAACAAAATAGTTGCCCAATAGCATTTCCTATTAAAATAAGATGTTAAAATCTATATGATGTCAATTAATTAATGCTTTAGTGTACCAAAAAAAAAAAAGGCAAAACCATAAGTTAAGCCCCTGAACTAACCCCAGAATCGCTAGTAAGCCCCTAGACTTTAATTGATGCAGTTAAGCCCTTGAACTCTGGGATCGAAGCAATTCAGCCCTTCTTCTTAAGCAATTTATTTTAAAAATTAAAGTTTAGTGGCTTACTAGCATAAGAAGAAGGGCTTAATTGCTTTGATCCCAGAGTTCAAGGGCTTAACTGCATCAATTAAAGTCCAGGGGCTTAATAGCGATTCTGGGGTCGTTCAGGGGCTTAACTTATGGTTTTGCCAAAAAAAAAAATGGAGCCATTAATGGCGTAGAAGACTTGAACGTTATACTTTAAGTGAGCAAACCGATTGGTGATGTCATGATGACATCATTCCTTAAAAGGGGCGATTTGCTGAGTTAAAAGAACTTAAGGGCTTATTTGCCAGTAAAAAAAAGTTGTGTAGCTGATTTTTCACAAGATGCTAAGTAAATGGACTGATTTATAAATTTTACTTCAATTATTCTGAAATAAAGATTTTTTTTTTGAACGGTGTACAAACCTAGCCCTTAAGCGTGGATGCAATTTTCAAGAAGGTTTAAAGTCATTGGCCAGTAAACCCAAGTGCAAATAAAGATATGGTTTTACTGATAAAACAAAATAAAATTTGATTGCAAGAGGATCTTATATGATGCCGACGTACCAATTTTTATACTCAAATAATCATTCTTTACGATTGATGCGAAAATCAAATCCTTATTTAAGAATAATTAAAATTTTAAATCTTAATTCTTTTTTTTAAAAACAAATTTACAAAAAAATCGAATTCAAACAGTTGTTCTGAAAGAGAAAGAATGCACTTATATAGGATCTGACGTAACTGGACTAAAAGCCCAAATGCAAATCTTAATTCTTAAATTGATAATAATTCGTATATTTATTTCTATGTGTTACTTGATCTATAATAGAAAATTCTGTTAAAGAAAGTGCATATATATTTAGTTGGGGTATTAGTGAGGAATTATTTTAATTTTTTTTTTAGTTCTTTTTAACAAAGAAGAGATTTTGGTCCTTTATTTTTTTTAATGGGCTAGGATCTTGGACAAATTAAACATTAGACAATATGACACTGATGAACAGCTGGGCTTTGCGTGTACTAACGACATTAGTGGTTAAATTATTTATGGTGTTTATAGACTTAGCGGTGATTTCTCGACCAGCACATGACATTTTTTTTTTTTAAGCTGATTGTGATCTTCAAATTAACCCGATTTTGTTTATATATATATATAAAAATTAACATGATTTTGAAGATACCAATTTTTTTACTTAAATTAACATTGTATGACAGAGTGATTTAAAAGTTGTATGATGCAATTTGTACTTTGAAGAGCAATTCTGGGTCAAATGCTTGTGTATAGGATTATAGTGTAACACCTCAAATGACAGAGTAATTTACAAGATTTATGATTCGATTTGCACTTTGAAGAGCAATTCTAGGTCACATGCCCATGTATAGGATTATAACCTCAAATGATAGAGTAATTAAGAAGTTCTATGATTCCAATTGCACTGTGATTCTGTGAAAAACATTTCTGGGTCAAATACTCATGTATAAAATTGTAGTGTAACATTTCAACTTCCATATTAAAGAAGAAGTATGAATAAATTTGACATATAAATAATTAATTATTACTATTAATTCAAATTTAAAATTTTAAAAACTTATAGATCTTGATTAAAAAATTATTAGATTAGACCATGTCAGCTGGTATCAAAGTCATTGTAAGGTATTTTAAAACCATAAAATGCTATTGAGTCTTGATAACAGCCTGACATTTTACTTTCTGTCGACATTGAAAAATGACTGCTAATCCTATACAACAGAAAAAGAAAAGACAGGAAATAAAAGGACGAATTGATGCTCTTGTTGAGAGTCGAACTCAAGACCTCCCGCTTACTAAACGGGTGCTCTAACCAACTGAGCTACAAGAGCTTGTTGTCTAAAGTTCTTACGTCTAATTTATTAAGTCAAAAGTTAGAATTTTGCTGCCGAACGTTTTTTCGTTTTAAAGTGCATTGCTTAATTTATTTTGTTTACAAATCCTGCGGATAATAAAGAGTAATTAAATCCAACTCTGTTTGGCTATAAAATTAAATCAAGAGTATGCAAGTG